AGACGTAAGGCTGACTGGCCTATAGTTCCCCACGTCCTTGGTCTCTTTTTTAAATATGGGGGTTATGTTTGCCATTTTCCAGTCTGTGAGAACCTCACCAGACTGCCAGGACTTCTCAAATACGATGGCCACTGGCCTAGCAACTTCAGCTGCCAGTTCCTTCAGGACCCATGGATGTATCTCATCAGGTCCCATGGACTTGTGCACCTTCAGGCTCTCTAGGTGTCTGATTTCCAGTCATTTCAGTGAAGTGTTGATACTTAAGAAAAAAAAAAAACCTTTCTCTTGCCTGTGAAAGAGTTTGCAAAAGAAATTTTGCAAAAGTGCATACCACAAGAATTACACAATCTCTGTATATGCTGGCATTTATTCCCATATCAATTCAGAGACAAACTTTTTAAACTGAAAGAGCCTCTGATGCAGCCACTAAAAGAAAAAAAATAATCCTAGCTTACTAATAACCACACACATAATAAAACCTGCCACTGTCATGTCCCAGGTGTGGGCAAAACTTTTCCTTCTCTGGCCCACCAGAACAGAAGAGAACTTATTGTATGAGGTAGGCACAGTGATTAGTCAAGAGAGCAACAGAGACTTTGCCTTTTTGTTCTAGAATATTTATGCAGAAAGAAGCTCTGGGACTGATGATTTGACACAGCAGCAACGATTAACTAGTTAACTAGTAAATTGTTCAGGCTGGCAGAGCAGTTCTGTAAAGTGTTATTATCCCAGAGGAACATCTGATGATGCAGATATGAGGTTTAAGTGTGTTGTGCTTGCAAGTGTGCTTTGTTTTTTTTGTGGGGTTTTGTGGTGGCATGGTTCTACTGCAGTAACTCACTGAAGCATCAGTCAGAATTGGCTTTTTGCTACATTTGTTTCTGGGATGCTTTGCCCCGCAGTGTGGTGGTTAACAGGTTTAAACTGATTCTAGCCACTTTGATTTTCAGCTTCAGGTGTATCTACTCAACTGTGATGTAAAGGAGATGCTCAAGAGGTTGACTAGGCCAATGGCTCGTACATTTTTATCTACTTTTTGGGATTTCCCATCTCTCATACATATTGCAGTGGAGATAAAAGGCATAAATTTCCCTTGAGGAGTAGAGCAACAGAACTCCAGCTGTCAGTGAGAGCTTATTGTACTTAAGAAACCTGGGACGTTTATTGCATCTATACACTGCGTCTATGTATAGGTAGCAGGAATCCTTTACAGTCCACACTTTAAGTACTGTCTGAAATATCCTCTTATGTTGGCAGGATCTGAAAATAAATAAGAACTTGGCATTTATTATATATGGAACAGTGTCCTTTCCTGACATTTCTTCTAAAAGTAGTGTCATTTAAATATGAGTAATAAAGTTAGTTTAATCAAAACCAACTCATCTTCTCCCCCCTTTCAATAAAAAGGAAATTGGCTTTCGTGCTTCGGTGGCCAGAAGAGTTCCAAATGCACATAACCTGGATCATAAAAAGGAAATACAGCAGTAAGTATTTCTCCTTCTCTCTCACTAATAAATGTGTATAGATTACCTCCCCTCCTCTCCTCTTCCGAGTTAAATTAGTTTATCCCTGCGCAAAGCATATTTAGTTTTATGATTTGCCATTTGGTTTGAGTACTTTTATTGCTTTCATTAGTTTTGATTTTTAACTGATGCATGTCTATACAGTTAAACATGTATGAGACACTGAGACTGTTCCAAAGTGTTGGATCTTTCCCGAATATCCCGAAGCTGTGTGCAAGCACAGTACTAATACCCCAAGCCCTGCACTTTTGGCCTGGGTACTGCAGGGTGTATGACAACCAGGGATTTACAGCTTCTGCTTTGCAGGTGGAGGAAATCTTTCTTGTGCAGCCTACTGTTTGGTATCCCTGTCTTAATCCTAATGATTTATATGCTAATACCCAATGGTGGGCACCACGGGTCTATGGTGCTGGAACAGAACCTCATTCCTGGATTATCCATTTTAAATCTTCTCTTCTTTGTCCTGTGCACTTTTGTTCAGGTATGTTCACAGTACTTCCTTGGGATTTACTTTCTATTCATCTCCCATTTATGTAATCGGATGTGATAAAGAGAGGAGACTGGAAAGTTGTAGTGAATTGGGCCTGCCCTCTTGTCTGTGCCACCTACACAGAATGAAGTGGCACTTTTCTGCAAGTTACCCATCCTGTAATTGCTGATGCAACTTAGTCCTGCCAAAGCTGTGTCAGATAGTTTTCCAAGTGGGGCAGCTAGTGTTAAAATGAAGAAATACCTGATCAGCTGCAAACTAATTGGATAGCTGTAGGTAAACCCTTTCAACTTCTGTGCCTTGTTCGCTCGTTTATTGCTGAGGAAAAGGATGATATTTAGCTGTCAGAGTTGTTCTGAGGACAAGGAAGGGCAAGTGAGAGGATGACAGTTGAGTCAGCCTCCTGGTAGACCACTCCACTGAAGTTAGATCAATGTGAAATTTGCACGGGACAGCAATGCTTTCCCTTATCTACTACATGTTTAAAATTCTGCTATGGGCAGTATTATGTACTCTTTGCTTTCACTGCTGTGATCTTAATACGAGTCTCTCCATGCTTCCACTGACAGTTTCTGGGTGGATGGTATTTTTATGTACAAGCTTACAAATCGCTGAAGCACAAGACGGCCAACATGGATGTGCTCATCGTCCTGGCCACGACGATCGCTTATGTGTATTCCTGTGTGATCCTGTTGGTAGCGATAATTGAAAAGGCAGAGAAAAGCCCCGTCACTTTCTTTGACACTCCTCCGATGCTGTTCGTGTTCATTGCCCTTGGGAGGTGGCTGGAACACATAGCAAAGGTAACTCATCTTCACGCCAATTCTTTTACCTTTATGATGAGATTAGAATTAAATTATTCGGAGGGATTTTGAGCCAGATGTTTCTGATGTAGCCTATATTATACAAGGTCATTTAGAGTTTGTTAAGTACACATCAGCATTTATATATCTCAATATATCTTAAATGTTCATCTTCTGTTTCTTAGAGTAAGACGTCCGAAGCTCTTGCTAAACTTATATCTCTTCAAGCCACAGAAGCCACTGTGGTGACTCTTGGACCTGACCACTCTATCATCAGGTATATATTTATCAACCAAAACACCTTCAGCCTGCCTGGGTGCACAGACTAGGCTTAATGCAGTTAGTGTGAAAGCATTATTGTTATTGTTGTTATTGTTGTTATTATTATTATTATTATTATTATTTTTAACTGATGATGTAAATAACCTGTCTGTTCTATTTGTGTCTTTTGCAGAGAGGAGCAGGTAGCTGTTGAATTGGTTCAAAGGGGTGATATTGTAAAGGTTGTTCCTGGTGGAAAGTTCCCAGTGGATGGGAAGGTCATCGAAGGCAGTTCTATGGCAGATGAGTCTCTCATTACTGGTAATTTCCCTTACTCTTATGCAAAGAAGTGGAAATCTTCTAGAACTCTTTCTTACAAGACAAGAGAGCAGACTCAACCCAAAACCTGCTTTTTGAATAAACTGCTACCCTCATGGATGCTGTGCCTAGCCTTCATGAGCTTGAATCCAAATCCCACGATTGCAAACGCCCTAAAAAGATGAAGAATTTCCACTTAGTTTGGTCACTTTTATTAATGTACTGATGGGATGGGTAGATCCTAAACACAGTTGTCATTCCAGAATGCTGGTGGGAGCTCCCCCTGGAATGTATTTGCAGAGATGATATCTTCGCAGAAATAACTTCTGAAGGGTGATAAGGAAATATTGCTGAGATGTTGGGGTGTGTATGCATGGGCACCGAACAGGGTTTCTCACAGGAGTCGTCCAGTGAGCAAGAGGATAAAAAGCCTCACAACTTGATGCTTATTAAGGATTCTGGAGATTTTTCACAGCTTCTGAAATTTTAATTTTATTCTGTAAATATAATAAGGATTTACTGCATTGTGCAATTCTCGTAAATAAGGTAAAGGATATAAAAACTTTATATTGGCATTGGCTTACTTGTTTTAGTTATGTATTTCCTTTGCTTGGGGAACAGGACCACCCTTAATTTAAAAGAACCAATCATTATCACTGACCTTACAAACAGAAAATCAAGATTTTTATAGAGCTAGCGTTCTTGGAGAAGAATATGTGAGTGTGGGAATAGAAGCTTTGCCTAGTCTTTGAAAACTGAGGGTGGTGGATATAAAGACAGGTTGCTCAAACTCCCATGGCTATGCAAAGGGTTAATCTGAGAAATTCCTAGAAGTTCCTTTCACAACCAACTTGCTCCTGACCCTTTTGAGGGATGGCATACTGGAGTCAAGACCAAAGAAACAGCATTTGCTTTGAAACTAAACCTAGAAAAAGGGTTACATAAATATGACACCACATACGCATGTCTTCACCTTCACTAGTCAGAGATATATAATACGTGATTTCTGGTCATTATTGCTTAGCATACTGATTTTGCTAGCATACGATGAGCTGTATGTTAATGGACTAGATTCACTGTTATTATTCTTACTTTTTCTTTCCAGGGGAAGCTATGCCAGTCACTAAAAAACCTGGGAGCACAGTGATTGCTGGTTCTATAAATGCACATGGCTCAGTTCTGGTTAATGCAACTCATGTTGGTAATGATACCACTCTGGCACAAATTGTGAAATTGGTGGAGGAAGCTCAAATGTCAAAGGTAAAAGTAATAGAAAAGAAAACCTTATTCACAGATTTTGATTAAATAAGAAAAATATCCAATATTTTGATATAATTACTTTTCCAGCAAATTGTGTGTTTTTTCCAGACCTCAGTAAAGAATCAGATGAAGACTGCTAGATATTTTCATGGATGCTGTGCATTTTTGTGTTTTGACCATCAACATGCAAATACCTGTTCTTTTTTTATAGGCACCTATCCAGCAACTGGCAGATAAGTTTAGTGGATACTTTGTTCCATTTATCATCATCATTTCAACAGTGACGTTGGTAGTATGGATCACAATTGGTTTTATAGATTTTGATGTTATTCAGAAATATTTTCCTGTAAGTAATTTCATTAAGAGCTCAAGTATGGTGTTAGGATATCTTCCAGTATAATTAACATATCTTCTGTGTGTAGAGTTTGATGTTGCAACCTGCCAAATATTTTTGTACAATGAGGTGTTTTCTACACAGAGCAGATAATTGCACCAATTAATATCTATCTGCAGGTATAAATATACCTTTGCATCTACCCCTTAGTTCTGGATAGGATTCCTACAAACTGAAATTATCGGCAGTCTTTCTGGACTAAACATGATCTATAGCTGCATTGCAAGGACCTGAGCCACTCCTATCATGCCTGGATTTTTTTTTGGACGTCCTTATTCCTGATGGCAAATAGTAATTTTTGCTTTATAAAAGAGATGAACTTTTGTTACTTTTTAGGATGTGTATTTGCGCCACTCAAGCAACTGTGGGTTCCATGTACCTGGAAATAGGGTTCTCCTTCGCTAAGTGTAAAGGAAATGCTAACAAGACATATTGTCATCCTGGAGCCTGAGAGCAGAGTCAAGCAATTTTGTGCTTGAGCAGCCAAAACCCCCATAAAATAGTCATAAACAATTCATAACATTGATTGTTCTCTGCTATTACAGTAACAATAATAGATTGCTCTCCTTTACTGGAGGTCTCCTGGTAAATGTGTTTTTTTGAAATGACTATGATGGATGGTAAGTTGATGTTACCTTCTATCAGCAACATATCTCTTTTTTCTTTTTTTTTTCCTCCCTCTCTTCCCTCTTTTTGTAGAATCACACCAAGCACGTTTCAAAAGCTGAATTAATACTGAGGTTTGCATTTCAAACCTCAATCACTGTTCTGAGCATCGCATGCCCCTGTTCTTTAGGCTTGGCTACTCCCACAGCTGTGATGGTGGGCACAGGAGTTGCTGCCCAGAATGGTATTCTTATCAAAGGTGGAAAACCCCTGGAAATGGCACACAAGGTTAGTAGTTCATTCTGTAGTTCATTCACTTACCCAGCTGTTGCTACATGAAATATAATTTCCTGGGATATCCTGCTGGTCCAGAGAAAGATTGCAGAATCATGTTTGGGTTTTTTTTTTTCCTGTTGGTTGCTGCTCATTAAGGTAAAGACGACCAGTCTGACCTTCTTTCTTCCAAGCAGTCACAGAAAGGTGTTGAGACTCAACAGTTCCTGCAATCTCATGCCAGTGAGGCTGCTAATATTATGCATGACCTCAGAGGTTTCTGACTTTGGTGCTCTCTTTACTTCTCCTGCAAATCAGCCCAATAATATAGTGATTTCCTTCTTTCCTCAGAGCTGTTGTGAAATGTATATTGTTCATGATCAGTAGTTTAAAATGTAGGATGTAAGAGAAAGACAGAATGATTTAAAGTTGTTTTAGTTTCTAGGAAAAAAGACAGAAGGTGGTTGAAAAAGTCCGTCAAAGACAGAACACTGATGAAAAGAGGAGGAGGATATTGAAAGAGAAAGAGGCTTGACATGTTCACAGCCAGTAAAAAGAATATGAGTTTAAGCCATGCTATAGTAGACTGGATTAGACATATACAGAACTTTTTAAGGGAAAAGGATGGAAAGAGTAAATTAATCAGACTGATAATTCTTGTTCTTGCTGGGCTTTATAAAGCATAGACCAGAAGTTTTTCCAAGGCTCTGCAAAAGACAAAAAAAACCCCTGCTAATTAGTGTCAGGACTTTTAATCTTTCAAATACAAGTGAGGCTAGGATCAGGGCTTGGAAAATTACGTGACCTGTTGGATTCTGCAAGGTTGGTGTGTAGGAATAGCAAGGAATGGAAATAGTGCCTACTTTGTTGGGGTTTTTTGGTTCTTGTGCTTGTTGTGCTATGTTTTATTTTCAGGACTAGAACTGACTTTAGCTTTGAGTTTCACCGTGTGTGAGGCAGCAGTTTTTGGTTCATTCTCAATTCCTGAAGACCCATGGGGCTGGCTAACAAGTGATTGCTGAGTTTGGTGAATAGCATGAGGCTGGGTTTGGTTAGGTTGTTGTTTCTGGAACTTGTTGCAGCTTCTTGCACACTTGCCACCTGCTCTATCACCACATAATTTCCTGAGTCCTCTTTTCTTAGTGCTATTGGGGATTGTTTAGAACGGCATTTGTAAAAGCCCTCCTTGCATTTTATACGTTGTGGTAAAAGTGATTAAGGTGTCATCATGTGAATCCTGCAGGTGAGTACATACATGCACCCACAAAGGACAGTACAAGTCCGACAATGACTCTGTTGTCCGAGATCCTGACAGAGGTACAGAACGATGTTGTAGCTTCAGTGAAATCACTGTACGGGGAATGAATAAAAAAGCATGAGGAGACCTGCTGTACAGGTATTTCAAGGTACATACAGGTATCCCTGCTTTTGTAGGTTTATTCTGTCTTGGTGTGGATACAGTCAACTGATTATTAAGATTTTGCCTGTATTTATGTGCCTAAAGTGTATGAGCATCCCTACGCTCTTGGGCTTAGGCAGTAACATGGTTTTATTTCTTGTAGATCAAGACTGTGATGTTTGATAAAACTGGTACCATCACCTGTGGAGCTCCTAAAGTCATGAGGGTGCTTTTGCTGGGGGACACAGCTGTGCTCTCTCTGAAGAAGGTCCTGGTGGTGGTTGGCACAGCAGAAGCCAGCAGCGAGCATCCTTTAGCAGTGGCAGTCACTAAATATTGCAAAGAGGTACTTAACCCTCCTGTTTCATCTGAGGCCTGAAGGGATTTGTGCACATGCAGCAACGTTGTACAAAATGAGCAAGTTCCAGAGGGACAGACCTGCCTGTAAAGTAACCTGACTGTAGTCATTTCTGTTAGTCACTTGCTTATCTGAATAGATTAGGCAAAAACCTTTAAAACCTGAATATTAAATTGTGATATTTGTGAGTTTCACAAATGCATTAATAGATTACTCAAGTCTTTGCAAATTTTGCAAATCCTCAAAGGTAATTTATATATTGCTTGTGTTCATCAAGTGTTTCAGGAAGAATGAAAGTACAAATAGTAATCAAAATAGGAAGCATGGTTTAAATAAATTTCTTTCTGCTAAGACAAGTCTTTAATTGATTTATGGAAAAATTAGTTGGCAAGAATGTATCAAACTTATTAGTGATAGATCTTGCAGTGGTAAAATTAAGAAATTAAGCTATAAATTTAGAAGGAAAAAGAGTGTATAGGTAGTAAGTCAGTAGCCTCTCTCATATTTTACATTTTCAATTTTCAAATTTGCCTTAGTACTCCAACACATCTGCATTCATGCCATGCACCAGTTATTACTGGATCACAGGTTATATGAACTGCAATGCTATTCTGTTTGCTAATAGTCTCACCACCTGCTTTATCACTCCTGTGTAAGAACGTCACTGAAAGGTATATGGAATTCCAACTTCCAGAGACAACCCAGAATAATTTGTTTATAAATGAGTATTTTCTCCATTCTTTTTGTAACCAGGGTCCTGGTAATCCCTTTTTTTCATCTTGAAGGTACTCACTGGCTTCTTTCTCTAGCTCAACAGAAAGATAGAGTTTCCTTATCATTCAGACAGATCACTGCAGGAATTAAATACAGCTTTTCACTGATCTTTTACATACATATAAAAAACCTGATCCTACCCCATTAGTTGTCTGTGAGGTTAATCTTTTCAGAAGCTGTATGGCTTAGAATCCTAGAATGCATTGGACTGGAATGGACTTTTAAAGGTCATCTAGTCCACCCCCCCTGCAGTGATCAGGGACATCTTTCACTAGATCAAGTTGCTCAGAGCCCCATCAAGCCTGACCTTGAATGTCTCCTGGGATGAGACCTCCACCACCTCTCTGGGCAACCTGTGCCAGTGTTTCACAACCTTCATTGTAAAGAACTTCTTCATGATGTCCAATCTAAATCTGCCCTGCCCTAGTTTAAAACCATTGCCCCTTTGTCCTATCGCTGCACACCCTTGTAAGCAGTCCCTCCTCAGCTTTCCTCTAGCCCTCTTCAGGTACTGAAAGGCTGCTATAAGGTCTCCCCAGAGCTTTACTGTTATAGTGTATGTCTTTAGTTCTTAATCTTGGCTGAGGTCATGGTTGTAACTGCTTTGTGCTTGGATTACCAGAAGTTGCTGTCCTTTATGGTTTGCTCATGCTAGAGCTGAGACCTGAGTATGATCTGGATGGCTGCCCCTTTCTAGAAATCTAAAACCACAGCGTGTCCAGAACATCCTTTCTTTGAGTTCTGCACTACTGATACTCCATGCTGCTTTTCAGTCAGTCGTTCATTGTTAAGAGGAGGAATGAGGCCTCTTTTTGGCAGGAGTTATCTAAGATTTGTACCCCACACGGGCAGCAGAGACTGATGACGACCTCTCTTACATCCACAGGAACTTGGCACTCAGAGTCTGGGATACTGCACTGACTTCCAGGCAGTCCCAGGCTGTGGCATCAGCTGCAAAGTTGGAGGTGTTGAGGCCATCCTGGACACAGACGAGGAGGATCTCGATAAGCTGGATGCTAACAGGAGCGGGGAAGGCACTGCTCCTCTGGGAGATAATGCGCTGATCACGCTCCCAGAATCACAGGGTAAGTCTACCCCCGCAGGTGACCACCAATTGCGATGTGAGAGCTAATGAATGAGCAGTGCTGACCACTGTAAAGGAATCCTATCAGACTAGGAACAACAGAAGGGTGGATTTATGGTAGAGCAAGGCAAAGAACATGAGGGACAAAAATGCAGCTTTAGGGAAAATGGAAGTTCTCTCTTTCCCCTACCCTCAATCTCTCTGCAATGCAGAAATCTAAATAAGAATATAGATGCTACAGTGATAGATGACTCAAAAAGCCCATACAATATATAAATTTGGATAATAGAATGGTCCACCAGAGAGCAAAGTTTGCCAATTAACATTATCTTCCCATTTAAAGCAGTTGCCTTTAACATATATTATCTTATTGCAACCTTTTATATCCTACCCTTTAGTTCCATATTAACTTGAACCTTTTGTTTTCTGATTATATATCTCTCAAGGTACAAAATTAAAATAAAATAATTATAATCTATTCAGTAGAAGCTGCAAACTGAGTTTCAGTGCCTGATGTTTTTGATTAGGGTGATACATCTGCTTTTGTTTCAGGCTCTATGGAAGTCACTTTGCTCTTTTGTAGTGTTTGTTGGAAAGAAAGAAAAAGTATCTAAAACCTTCCTTAGAAGCTCGTAAGTTCTCTTTAGAAGGCTGTGGCTCTCCTGACCTTTTTGAGAAAGCTATTAGAAGAGTTAAATAAGAACTTTAAAATAATCAGAACTGTGCCATTTGTGAACAGTGTTAATGTAACATTTTCTCACCTGCTTCATATGTCTCTTGTGAAGTTGGCTTGAATTCATAATGAGATGTTCCACATACTGTTTCATTATTTGTTAGAGCAAGACTACTTTTTTCTTACCAGCAATAGCCTTTTTATTTGAAAGAAGTCATTAGTTGTGAGAACAAAGCAGCATGGCATTTATGAAATGTGCATACTGCAGTTATTCAGAAAAACAATGCCAACTGGCAAAGGCAAATGCAGGTGAATACTTCCATTAAATTCATGATGCAATTCTGTGTGTAAACAGGCACAGAATGAGTCTTGAAGCTGAAAAGTTTTATGAGGCTGTTTTCAAATAGTGCCTATGCATTTCTGTCAGGCCATGGCAGCAGCAGGTCAACAAGACTAATTCTATTTATGTCTTGCCAGTCCAGAGCACATATGCAAAAAATAAAATTAGGAAAACCTCTTCCAAATATCTTACTATGGCTAATGCAGCCTGAAATTGTCATCCTCAGACATCCACAGATTGTTTTCACTGTTTCTGAGTTTCTCTTTTTTCTTTTTTGTCTATGCACAAAGGTTCGTCACCTTCTCACACATACTCGGTGTTGATTGGAAATCGTGAGTGGATGCGACGCAATGGCTTGCATATTGCAAATGATGTAAATGATGCGATGACAGACCATGAAATGAAGGGACAGACAGCCATACTAGTGGCTATAGATGGTAACTGCTCTTCTTTGGAGTGACTTAACAAATACCAGTTGATCCTACCATAGAACGGATAAAAGCAAATTCTAGAGTAATTGATCAGCGGCCTAGCATCAAGACACTACTCTTTTTTTAGTGCAGAACTGCTTGTGAAATGCAAAGTATCAAGTTGCTCTTAAAAGAAGCTTTCACCTTAGAACAGTGTTTATAAGATTTTGTTGGGTAGTTTTCAATTTAAGCATCAATTTCTGAGCCTCCTGTTGTCTAGGACTGTTGCTCAGAAAAGCAGTGCCAATGCAGGGCATTTCTCCTCCTGACTTTACATCACTTAAGGATCACAGGCCAAGCTATTGCATCACTGATTTCCAAACGTTTCGTGAAAAAGCATGATGATTCATTAGATCATTCAAATATAATAGATTACACTAAATGAGTTTTGCTAGAGGGGTTCCATTCTGTGTTATGCAGAAAGAAATCCCAGACAACACATTAATATGAGAAACTGTTGTAATGGTGATGGATTGCCAGTGCATCTGTGATCTTGAAATGGAGCCTCTGATTCAGTTACTGAATAAATATTCTTGTTGTTCCGAGAGAGCAATTTTGAGAGGCATTTGGATGTCTCAGCCTGGGCTCCATCAAGAGTTCGACAAGATCAAGTGCTCTTAGCATGGAGATAAGGGCCCTGATGTACAGCTGGTGTTCCTGTCACTGCTAGTGATAGCAAATAGACATACAAGGATGCAAAATCTATTTAAGCCCTTAATTTTGAAAGGTAACAGGCAGTGATAAACCGATGTCTGATTTTTGTAAGTCATGTGAAGAAAACACAGATGCACCTTTGAGCCAATGTGTTGGAAGGCAGGTACACACAATTAATTGTAGCAGCAATCCAACTCTGAAAAAATAGGGCACATAGAATCATAGAATCACATAAAACTGGACATTCTATATGCCTCCTCCTGAAGGAATGTCTGAGTAAAAACACCAAAACTTCCTCTGGCCCACTATTGTATTTGTAGATATAAAATCTAGGCAAGTTTAAAAACTACCCTCTTCTTCTTCCCTTCCTCTTGGTGCTTAAATATCGAAAGTGTTTGTTGCTTGATCTGAAACAGGTAAATGAGAAAAGTGTGTGTGTATAAGAAAGAGACCATAATTTAGAAAACTGAAGACAATTGTTCAGGTTTATGAGTGTCGATATTGACCAGAACGTGTTATTTCTAAAGCCTCCACAGTGTGCTGAAAGGAAGGTCCTGTACTATTGTTGCCACTTTGCCTCCCACAGCTCTCTCTTACAGATGGTGTTTCTTCATGCAGGTATGTTGTGTGGGATGATTGCAATAGCAGACACTGTCAAGCAGGAGGCAGCCCTTGCTGTGCACACGCTGAAAAACATGGGAATAGATGTGGTGCTGATAACGGGGGACAACAGAAAAACAGCAAAAGCCATCGCTACTCAGGTATATGCTGTTTCCATGTTTCCATAAAATATACGATGAAGTTCTAAAACTCTGCTTACACAGGTGAATTCAGAGCAGGAAATCAGAATTTCCCTGGGTACATTAAATAAAGACTAACTTTTCTTGAATTGGACTGAAAATTAGGTCAGGTCCTATGGCCAGTGGCTGCACTAGGATCCCGCTGAAGGCAAGCAGTCAGTACTTCTCCAGAGATACGCTTTCTTCCATTACTTAGTCTGAATTGAAGCCTCCTGCTTCTCTTCACCGAAGGGCAACCGTGTTTGATTAGTGACAAGGAAAGGTTCCTTCAAGGTCTAGTCCTGTTCCCAGCAAGTGAAGTGGGAATTTGGCCTTATCTTTAAGGGTAACAGAGTAATAATGGTAACAATTATTGTTAAGAAACATAGCAGTCTAAAAGAGGTTGGGTTTTTGTGAAATTTCCTTCATTTCAGACTATAAATGTTTATTATTGTCACTCTAATTTGCTACATTGCCACCCTCTCCATCCTCGTTTCCCTCTTTCCTTTTGCATCAGTCTACTTCTAATCTGCCCTATGCCACCTTGATTTCCTCAGGTATCCCACCACACAGCTAACTCAGCCAGCACTGCAGTAGGCAAGTTCTTGTATGTTGTGAGGTTTGTTTTTTTTCTCAATGTGATGCTTTAATCCTTCTGCTATTTTGAGTAATGCCTTGGCTTTTGTGTTCAGTTGTGTTAAAGCACTTTCCACCCCACCTTTCTTTATTAAGAAGTCTTTCAGAAACAAGCTGTGGTTTACAGTTCCAGGCACTCAAGTGAATTTTTCGAACAAGCTTAGTCTGTGACAACTACATTTTTGTTGAATTTTTGGTGCTTACTTCCTTTTTGACGGAAAAATGGTAAGCCAGTCATAACATTTTTTTAAAATGTTACTTTTTGAAAGGTTAGATAGCATCTACCTTTTGTAGTGAAAAGCTGATCTCTGCCTGGTGAAGCAGCTAAACCAGGGCTGTTATCCCAGCCCTCTTCAGTACATGCACCTGTTCTTCAAATACAGCACAAATCCATTGGCAGCAACTCCATATGAGTTGAGATGTTGATGAGTACAAGCGTTTAGCAGGCCATCTCTTTATTTTCATAATTTCCCTGAGACTTGCACATACTTGGCATTTCTGTGTTTCCCCTGGTGTCACTGCCTGATTGCACGTGGTTCCTGTGTTGCATTTCACTGAAACCTTTACTGGTCCACCAATCAGCAGGATTGCTGAAAACTGGCTTTTCTTTCAAGGCAGCAGAGTTTTCAACAGCCCTGCAGGGCATGACCTTAAGGGCTGAGCTTCATTTGCCAGCATCTTAGCAGTATAGATGGAGAGGTCTGTAGTCAGCCCCTTTCTTATGCCAAAGGCATGTTGCTCTTCAGCTTTCTGTGTAGCCTGCAAGCCTTGCCTCCACTGGAATCAGTTTGGTTGACATTCCTTTGCGTCCCCTTTACCCAGCACAGCAAATGGATCTTCCTTTCAGCATGAAGCATGTCACCAACTGGGTGTGTTTCTTTCTCTGTATGTAGGTTGGGATCAAAAAAGTCTTTGCTGAGGTTCTTCCTTCTCACAAGGTTGCAAAGGTCCAGGAGCTCCAAAATGGGAGGAGGAAAGTTGCAATGGTTGGCGACGGAGTCAATGATTCACCTGCACTAGCCAGGGCTGACGTTGGAATTGCAATTGGAACGGGCACTGATGTTGCCATTGAAGCAGCAGATGTTGTTCTTATCCGAGTGAGCACTACAGTTTTGACCTGTCCTCTTTTATCACTGACACTCCTCTTTTTGGTTTGGTATCCTGAAGACCACACGTTGAAAACTTGCAATGCTCTTCTGTCTTGCAGAATGACTTGCTGGACGTCGTTGCCAGTATTCACTTATCAAAGAGAACAGTTCGAAGAATACGAATAAATCTGATTCTTGCCTTAATTTATAATCTTCTTGGAATACCCATAGCTGCAGGTATGTGACTGCCAAAGCTCAGTTTGTCAAAGACAGCAGCACAGTTGAACTCTGTGATGCATCTCACAGGATTTCCGGCTCAAGGAACTAGAGTTTCTTAGAGTATTTAAAGCTTGGCAGAAGGAGAACAAAATAAATGCATTCTTTTCTTTTTCCATGTTGTAGAAAAAAATCTTTGTTCTCCATATTTCAAAATCTTAGAAATAAATTCTTACATGATGAAATTAAAACCATGCTCTTATTTCACACAGCACTACTTGGGGATTAGCTTCTGTATGTTCAAACGCAGCTCCAATCAGATACCATCCCACTTCTGGGTGCTCTCTCTTTTATTCATCCTGAATCACACATTTTCTGTCCTACTACTTGCATCCTCTCTGCTTCTGTCAGACATCTTCTCATGCTCCAAATTCCTCCTTAAAACTTATTTCAAGCATTCCTCTTTTTTGGGGGGAGTAACTTCTTCCACCTTTCCCTGGACTAGTGCCTTGTCTTTCGGTTGGTTTTGCTTTATTTCATACGTGCAGAATAGCTGGAAGGAACAGTCTTACCTTGTGGCCGCAGTCTTGTAGCTGAATTGGTGCAAAGGTCCTCCCTTGCAGCAGAAGGGATATGTTTAAAAATAAGTGAGTAAATATATATCAATCCAATTGTGTTTATGGAGGTATCAGCAAGTCATGGTGTAGAACGTGTTCTGTGATAGGCGTTGGGACAGGTGGCTCTGGCTCATGTTGGTATGTTTTCTTGCTAGGTGTGTTCATGCCGGTTGGCCTCGTGCTCCAGCCTTGGATGGGATCAGCTGCAATGGCAGCTTCTTCTGTGTCTGTCGTGCTGTCTTCCCTGCAGCTGAAATGGCAAGTTGTCTTACACTATCACTTGGTGAACCATAGGCAATGTGGCTGCTGGGACCCAAGGGAGACATTACTGGGCTTTGTGTACATAAAAGTACCTGACAGTCCTTTGGCTTAGGGTTGTTCTGTCTAATCTTTGACTCTAAAAAAGACAGATGTCGCTATTATGAATGCACCTGGACTAAGACAGTACTGAGCATTCTTTTACTAGCATCTAAAAGTGTGACTGGACGCCATCTGGGCATCTGGGTTGGAGATCTACTTCAATACCAAGTGAGATAATGATCAAGTTTGGTTTTGCTGTGAATACCAAGTGAACAAATAACTCAAAAGGTAGTTCTCTGTAATGCAGCAGTAGATGTTTTCTAAAAGATTTGTACCTGGTTTTATTTTTTTTGTCTATTTAATTTACTCAGAGAGAGGTAAAGAAGCAGTGTATTTATTCTTTTGCATCTTTCTACAGATAAAGTATCTTCCTTGATTTTTTTTTAGAAGCAAGCCAATTTCTGACCTACAAGACTTTTTCCGTTTTCAAGTTCTATTATTTTTTTTATCCTACATTTTCTGGGTGCCAAAAAGGTGCACTTATAGTGGACTTACGTTTAATAGCATTGTGAGCAGACTCTTAGCCACTTACATTGTGTCTGAACTGCAGGTTAATATTTAGGTTATCAGAAGTTTCTGATTTGTTCTAACACCGAAGACACTTTTACACATTGACTTCTTGGTACTAAACATCTTTCCTCTTTCTTTCCTCAGTTATAAGAAGCCAGATACAGAAACTTATGAAGCACAAGCTCAAGGCCGCATGAAGCCACTTACTCCTTCCCAAATCAGTGTTCATATTGGAATGGATGATATGAGGAGGGATTCATCCAGACCCGCTCCTTGGGATCAAATTAGCCAAGTGTCTCTCTCTTCCTTGAGTTCAGACAAGCTGCCAAGACGTAACGGTTTTGTCAAGGAGGAAGGGGACAAGTGGTCATTGCTCATGAATGGAGGAGATGAAGAACAGTACATTTGAAGCACTGTATTTTCAGTAGAGGAGGAAACGTTCCTCCTCACCAGTGATGGGAGGGACCAGCTTATTTCATCAAGAGCTCCAAGGCTGTAAGTGAAGGAATTTCTTCAGCTCATGAAGCAATTGCAGCTCAGCTTGATGTTGGATTGTATGGAGTTTGGATTTTCTTCAGGTCACCAGTTATTTTTAGTCATGGGAAGAATCTCTAATGAACTGGCTTCTTTGCACGCAACAATTAGTCAAATAATGTAAACCCGTAATTTTCAAAGTCTAAAAGTTTCTCTCTTCTGGACTGTTTACTGGACATCAAATTTCATAGTTTTCATTCTTTCTAACTTTATTCTTCCAGGAGTACATGAAGCTGCCAAATATTAATTTCTGCGTCTTAATGAAAACAGCTATGGCATAAAAAGCTCTGTGGTCAGAAATTATATTTTTACACAGAATTCTAATTAGTCACATCACTGTGAGAGCATTTTGCATTTAGGATTCGTGTGCATGTCCTTGGAACAAAAATTCTTTGGTATTTCACTGACTATAACTTTCTGAAAGATGTCTTTCGGAGATTTTCACTTGCTTTCACGTATCGCATCCTTTTGATGAGCATTTCCATTGCTAAACTTGTTCTGTCATTCCCACTGCTCTCCTAGAGTTTCTCTTTTGTTCCATATGAGCTCTTTCCCCCCTTTCTTTGCACAAGATGTCTTTTATGAGCTATTATTATGTTTGCAGATATTCCTGTTTGGGACAAACTCCTTTAAATAACCAGGAACTTTTCCGTTTCTCTTGAAGTCAACAAAGGCAGAGCAATTTGTGGTCAAAGCTAGAGTATCATTTTCTTGTGGGTACCTTGCAGTCTTGCAAGATCCTGACAGATGGGCAGCTGTCTGTCTGTTCCCTGACAGAGGAAAGAATTTACGCCACTGTGAGCGAAGGTGGTATTTACCACAATGTGACTACGAGCAGGACTAGCACTGGTGTGACTCCAACACGGCTGAATGGAGTGAGTTTATTGCGTAAATTAATCCCCGCTTGCTGGTGGCTTAAAACTGAGCAAAAAGTTTAAATGTTAAATGTGGAAAAATGGCCTTAAAATGTGGGGCTACTATTTGCTGTCATATAAATAACGTTATCTGATGACAGAAGGACTTGAAATTAGAAGATCTGTAATAGCTTGAATTTTAATGTGAATTTGGATTTGTATTTTGAATTGTTTTTGATTTCCCTCTTTGCTCTAGTTTAAGGAGACATCAAGGTGCTGAACAATCCCTTTTTCACTTTAATGTCTTTACCAAAGCTTGCAGTAACTTTATCCCTAGGAATGCCAAATTCATCCCTTAACACACTTTAGAGTCAGGACAGTAGGAATCAACAGCTTTGGGGCACTGAATCTGGCCCCAGGGTGCTGTCTTGCTCAGCTGTGAGACTCTGAAATAAGCAGAGCAGAGTTTTATAGCCTAATCTAAAAAGTGAAAAAAGAGGAATTACTATACTAAATGATGTGAAAGAACCTCTTATTTTCACTGACTTAAATAAGAGCTGTTTTCAACATGGATTCAAACCCTCCTCCTCCTAATACAAAAATGAAAAGCGAGTCAGAGAGGAAACGAATTGTGCTTAAAGTGCGGGACAGGTCTTCCTATTCTTTCTTCCTCTTAATATTACATTTGATCAGTCTTTAGCAAACATATTTAAGACAGCACTGTCTTAAATATAGTTACAGATCATTTTGTAAGCTGTAAAATCTCTTTAAATGTGTAGAGATTGCTTTCACAACACACATTCTTTTCAAACATGTCTCTGTGAGGAAGATGGTCTACTGTGTCACTGTTTTATATGTTCTTACAAGTGCTTTCAGCAAAAATATTGTGGGAGTTTTTAAATAAAAACAAACAAAAGCAAATAAATTCATATCTTTGTTTTTAGTCTTTTGGAGAGGCACAGACAAAAAATGGGGCACAAGCAGTGACTGTTGGATTGCAGGATACGTATGCACAAGGGAGATTTTGTGACTGCCTTGTGAATCTGTGTCACACAGGATGTATAGCAGGGAAAAATTAAACAGCGTTGCATTGTATGTTAAGGCAGGTGAGGTTGCAAGCATGTTGAAGGATGGAATTAGGATTTGAAACCATCTTGAGAAATTGGACAGAACTGACAAACTTTGCAGGAAAGAGAGGGATGACAAGTTAGATTCACAGGAAAAGGGAAGGTAGTTGGCTGGAATTCACTTTGTGACTCATTCTAACAACACAGTGGTGCTTGAAAATGAACAGGAAAATTGAGATGTATAGAGACTACATAATCCATGTGACATAAAATACCTCTTTCTGAGAGGCATCAACTGATGTGTCCGATCTAGTTTTATGTGTCATACTTGTTAGGAAAATACAGGGTTCAGAGAAGAACAATGAATTTTAACAGAAATCTAGGAAACATGAGAACATAAGTACATGAGAATGAGAAATGTAAGATTGAAGGAGTTTGAGTAGGTTTGTCTACAGGATGCTCAAAGGAAATACAAGTCTCCAAGCACAAAGAGAACAATTTATGCCTTTCATCTTTTCAGCGTCTTTCATGTACGTAGTGGCTAGAACGAGAAATAATAGACTTATTGAATCAAAGAAGATTTAGATTAGCCACTAGGGAGGAACTGTGTAACAGGAAGGATTATGGAGCACTGGAAGAGATCGCCAAGGGGGACTCTTCAATGTGCACTGCAATCAGGCATATATCTGATGAAAATGTATTAGCCAGAGGTGAATCCTGCCTTGGGGCAGTGACTGCTTTGGATAATCTCCTGACCTTCTCTCCAGTTGGCCTTTCCCTTATTTCTGTGAACATAATATGAACTGGAAAATTACTGGAGTAGCGGACTGATCACACTATCCTGCTCTCAAGAGGTACCAAAGGACTGGAATAAAGATTGGCTTTGACTTTATTTAATAACTTGAACTGGAAAATACGTTAAGGTTTCATAAGTATATTTCCATAATGCTTTAGATTTTGGACTGCTGTGAAATTTGCATAAATGCCTACTAGGAAGTTAGAAGAGATACACGTAGTTAAGAAGAAGAAATCTAAGCGCTATACCTGATGCTTGTGATCGTGTGCTTCTGTTGAACTTGAGCTGACTCACTGGAGGGGTGTATGAGAGGAGGAGGACAGCACCTGCATTTCTGCATAACATAATTATGAGCTTTCCTTGCCTTCACTGAGACCATCTGAGCCTCCAGCAGAGCAAGGTGCTGGCCTGGAACTGGTGTTTCTCTGTGCTATGAGCCAGGTCCAGCAAAAGGACTGGAAGAAGCTGCCCAAGGGGGCAGGCTCTTGGGGTGATCCCTAATCTCGGTGTTCCAGCTGCTCACCAGCTCACCATGCTTCTCCTTTCTCCCAGGACTCAATATTTTGATAGTTTAGACAGTGCTGAGGAGCTTTTTAAATATCCCAATTTTGATCTTAGGTTTTTATGTTCTGTACATTTTCCTGGCATGATTCAGATACTGCCTATCTGACTCTAAATATGAATGTATCTGGTGATTTACATGGGACCTCTATTTATTTTGCCGTGGAAAAATTTCTGACTCTTTTCCTGTATTATTTATTTATTTATTTATTATGAACAAAGAAGACATCTAATGAATTAGTTCTTTTACTTTATCTTTCATGTTATTTTTAGTAGCTCAGGAGCAATGTTTACCATGAAGCTTTTCCAATATTTTCCTTCTTGTGCTGTAGTTTTGCCATAAAATTTTTTAATTGCCTGAGTTCACAGGAAAGAAATTATTCCTTCTCCCCTTTTCAAGCAAATTAACTGTCTGATTTCTATCCAAGCCAGTTACAACCTTTCTCTGACTAAATATTCTTCCAAGGATTGTATTTTCTCTAAATGCATTTGTGTGTGAAGAAAACAAACAAGTAGGTGGTGAAATTATACAATGGTGTACAAGAATGTGAAATTGAATAACACCAAAATGTCAGATTCAGTTTCCTCAGCTAAGATGCCAACAGCAAGCGTGTTGGTTTTCAGGGGGAAATCGTTTGAGAATCATGACAAAAGAAGTGGCGAATCGTTCCTGTGTGACCTACTGTAGGTGATCCTGCTCTGGCAGGGGGCTGGACTAGATGATCTTTTGAGGTCCCTTCCAACCCCTGACATTCTGTGATTCTGTGATTCTGTGAAGTGCAAAGCATCCAGCTCACCTGTGAGTCTCAGCCAGGCACAGATATTGGAGGAGGCAGATTAATTCCTCTCCTTGTCACAAGTTAAAAGCACCCAGGTTTTGCAGGTGAGCATGGCCCATCCACTGGCTCTCTGTGCAACTATCCAGTTTTCATTTGTTCATCTTTGCACACAAAAGGATGATTTCTGATGTTTCCCCTGGTGCTGCAGGTGAAGGGAAACGGGTGTCACAGGAGCAGGTGTGTGGTTTTTTTCCCTGCTTGGGCATCCAGCTGCCCCAGATGAAGGTAAGTCCCCTGTGAGATCTGTGCTGCTCAGTGCTGGGGTCCAGAGGTGTCAGTGCAAGGTTTGGGTTGGGGGGCTGTGCCTCCTGGCAGCCAGCATCTCACCTGGCGGGAGACCACGAGATGTCACTGCAGATCCAGCCCAAGCCAGAGAATACCCTTTATCTGTAAAGAATTTAAAGATCCAGTGCATTCCCTGCTGTTTAGCAGGAAGGCAAAGCGTGATGCCTACACCCTCAGAACAAACCTTCACCTGGCACTTGAGAGTGAAAGACTCTTGAGAGTGAAAGACATTTGGTTGGTTTTTGTTTTAAGCAGACTCTTACCTTAGGGGAAGTCACCTTGTAGACCCACCATAAGTCTCCAAGAATGTGTATCTGCTCAGGAGAGCACTAAGCCACAGGGGTAAATCCTTTTTTAGTCAATGAAAATAAGACATGTGCTCAGTCCTCCCCTGAGCTACAGCTACATATGTCTCGTGATAGATACAAAAATTTTTTTAGGCATATATCTCAATATTTGAAGCCTCCAAACACCTAGGGAGCTACCCCAAATCCATATGACTATCTGTAATAAATTGACTAGGTTTGAAAGAAGTTTGCCAAACTTTTTTTTTCTCT